TCAATGCTGATCCACTACGACAATAATGTTAGCCCAGCCTTCCACTATTATGAGTGTGTGGGCACTGGCCTGAACATTTCTCAAATCACTGGTAGCACTCATTCCAGAGTCATCCAATTCTTGACCTCACATGTTCCTTCCTTAGGATTTCACGACGACCTGGCCAAGTATCAGCACTCGGGCACCACGTCTGGAGAACACGATTCGCCTGGAAACAGGCCTCCACCAGACACCCCAGGTGCTTTATCGCCAAGTGAAGGCCGTCTGTCGACAATCTATGAAGATAACGAGGAACATAATATCGAAGCCATGATGCTGGAAGAGTGGTACGATGAGTTACGTATGGACCTTCATCCCACGACGACTACCGACGATTATCTCTACTGCGTCCCAACAACTATGCTGCCCGACCACTGTGTTTTGGTTGCAGCATCTGTGGACGAAGAAGATATCGTATTGTCGGAAACGCTCGGAGACGAGCCTGAACCACAAGAGCCCTGTCTAGTCTCTCTATGCTCAACCACACCTGACGAGGGGTACTCTCTTGACAGTGATGAATATGGTCCCTATGTTGAGTTATGTTTTACATCGAAAATTCAAAAGTAGTGTTGGATCAGACTCAACTTGCACAACTCGACACTGATATGGTCGCAACGATGAGAGTATATGTATCCTCTGCTGCTAAACGTGCTGCGGTAGTCAAGGAAGACGACCTACTCACCAAAGCCGATATAGCAGCACACCCGAAAGAGGTTAGTGAAGCTTTGTACACTGAAATCAAGATCTGGCTTGAAAACCGGTGCTTTGAGATGTATGATTTATCCAAAGCTTCCAACATCATGACATCCAGATATGTATATAAGTGGAAGTTTGTGAAGGTAGGTACCGAGAACGTTAAAACCATCCGTCTCAGACTTGTCCTTCGTGGATTTATCGGCACGGAGGCTTTCGACGTGGCAACCTTCTCGGGAACCGCTCGAAGGCAGTCCCCGAGACTCCTAGCAAGTGAGGCGGCATGCCATCCAGAGTGGATCTTAGCATCCATGGATATCGACAAAGCGTTCCTCAAGGGTTTGACCTATGAGGAACTCGCCCATGCCACCGGCGAGGAAACTCGCATGGTTTGCTTCACTCTTCCACCTGGAAGTGCCCAGGTACTTCGTACACTGCCCGGCTTCTCATCCTATAACGAAAGCCGACGCTGCCTCAGGTGCCTCAAGCCAGGAACGGGTGCAAAGGACGCCCCAAGAGCGTTCTCTCTCAAGCTTCGTGCGACCACACGAGCTATAGGCCTTACACCGACAAGTTACGATCCTGAGTTTGAATCCAGCCAAGACTTGTTAACGGCAAAACATGTCGATGACATTAATATAACAGGCCTAGAGAAAACTATAGATGACTATGTACAACGCGTCGAAAAGGTGTTTGGCAAATGCAAGCTTAACAAACACTCATGCACGAACTGCGCCGTTCGCTACACTAAGAATGACCAAGGAGATGTGATCATGGATCAGGACGAGTATATCAAACTACGTCCAATCACACACCCAGAACTTACAGGAGCGGCGGCCGATGCCAAAGCCACCAAACTCATCGCCGACATGTTCGTCAGCTTGCGAGGAGCCCTCGCCTATGCCCTTCTTACTCAAGTCTGGCTCATGGTATATGTGGTCTATCTTCAGAAAACCCAAGAGCCCACCAACCTACAGGTCAGACGACTGAATGCTGTGACGCGAAAGCTGATCAGCAGCCCGAAACGCATCACCTTCCCTCGGATGAAGCCGACGAGTGAAGTTGGCATACACAGTGATTCGGGGTATCGGAAGCTCACCGGGGAGGAGGACGATGAGACCAAGGGCTATGGCATACGCGGGGCCAACGTACTACGGCGAGGAAGCTCGCCTCAAGACAAATCCGTCGTTCACCTCTGTGACGGACTATGCAAATCACACCGACTGCGGGTGGGGTCCAGCTATGCCGCTGAGGCACTTGCAGCTGCACACAACCTCGATGAGTGTTACCCTACGCCCATCACTCTCCACGAGCTCAAGGGGGGGGGGCTCTGGCTCCACGACAACTACGAGATATGCGTGAAGTTGGGGGCCTAGCTGTTAAAGTATCCCTTACCATAGACGCTGAGTCGGTATATAAATCGCTATCCAGCAAGGATCTTAAGATACCGACGGAACGGACCTTGCTTGGACAGATTAGCTGGATACGTGAGCTCATGGATATAGGTATAGTGCATAATGTGCAGTGGTGTGATACTAGAGATATGACCGCAGATGGGCATACAAAGGGGAGCATCGATCGGGAGCTGCTTTTGGAAGTGATGTCAGGCAACCAGTCATTTAAGTATGACGTGAAGCAGTTTGTTCCCTTTCGGGGTCCCGAGGACAGACACAAGCCTAAGTCTAATCAATGTTAGTCTGTCCTTGTTGCCCCCGCGGTCCAATTTGCCAGCATGGGCGCCTACTACAGAGGCGCCCTTCTAGGTGCTCGGAAACGAGCCTTACATTTCACGCTTGGTAACGAGCCTGTTCAATGCGATTCAGGCTCTTTGCCTTAATACCCGTTTGCTCGGTGAGGTATGGCCCGTTTGGCTTACCTCTAGCCGGGCCGATAGCCCTTTACCATTCAAGGGGCTGTCTCGTATTTGCGTGAAATGCCTTGCGAGGAGACTCGCCTTACAATCTGGTATTAGGCCAGTATGTATGCACTGTTTTCTTGCAAACAGTTGCGCGCGCGGCCTTTGTAGAGCCTAACGGCTGCGCGGCTATGCTCTCCGTCTCCTCCCCTCCCGACTTTAAGGGTAGCTTTTTGGGAGATGTTATATAGAATCGGGAGTATAGCTCGCGCGCCGTTGCCTTTGGCTCAAGGCACGCGCGCCCTATTTGCCCGGACACTTACCTTAGTGTTCGCTATGTGCTGGAAAGATCACTACATCGATCTTATCTTATCAGATCCGTCCATTCCCCATACTGAACCACCCCAGCAGGGCAATGGACGCTATCTGCCATTCGATTCCCAAGGGAGCGGATGTTGTTTGACTTACCATAGTCACTTTCGACTAAAGAGGCCTCCAAGAGCACTCCCAAGAAGGTCCCAAAAGGCAACAATCATTGATTTGTTTTATTAGGTTTTTGGTGAATTTGGGGGTTCTCCTCTTTTCGGCTTCCCGACGCTCCAAGACGGCGGTTTTCTGGGCGTCCGAAGCCGCCTGGGAGGCTCCAAAATCGCCCCACAACGATCCGAAAGGGTTTCCAGGCAGTCCAAGAGAGCCCCATAACGGCACAACACGGGTCCAAGATGCCCTGAGAGAGCCCCACGGCGGCCCAAGATGGCCCCAAGACACCCCCTGAAGCATTGCAAATCGTGACCCGGTTGTTCAGGGATTTCGCGGTTGGAGGCAGGGTGGCCCGAGGAAGCCCCCAGAGGCCCCCAGAATGCGCCCAGGAGGCTTGCAGAAGGCCATAAGAAAGCATGAAACAGCTTTTGTGAGGCCCCCAGAGGCTCTCCAGGGAGGAGCATCCGCAAAAAAGAGCAGAGGAGGATGTGGAAAATGCGCAGAGTATGGCGAACATGAGGAGCAAGAAGCATGGAGGAAGGATAACGAATAATATTATTAGAGCGGCGATGCCGGAAAAGGCAACAAGGAGTCATCGCTAAATTGTCGGCTTGACTTTCCTGCTATTCTGCCTGCATACCAAAGTTCAAGGACCACGGTGCATGGCGCGAAGCGTCACTGCAGCCTTGTATATATATATATATACATTTATATATACAGGTTATACATATTTAGGCTGCCTTCGGCAATTCCGCCACCGTGCCAGCGCATCGTTCCGGGTTACAGCTGCTCGAGAATGCAACGGGACATGACGGGGGCCTCTCGGGGCAGAAGGCCCCAATTCTGGATTCGGGCCCCCGCTCGCGCCCGGAAGAGGGGAGGGGGCTCTTGACACATTACAGAGGCCCGACCAGACAGACCTTGGCAATCGTCCACTCCTCAACGTGCGCAGGGTACGGTGGCGGATCACGGCATCCAGCGCGGCCGATTTGCTCCTGCGGGGTCCTCAGGGAGGGTCGCCACGGGGTTGCCGTGGTCCTCCGACCCGCGTTCCGCGCGTGGTCGACCCCGACCTTCCGATCCGCGTTCCCGCATTCCGTGCTCGCCCGCTCGAGGAGAGCGCCTCCCGTCGGGTCTTCTGGGGGAAATCCAGCCTTGGTCCTCCGACCCGCATTCCGTGCTCTGGGTCGCAGACAGTGGTGCAGCCCGCGAGTGCCGGCTCGAGGACGGCGCGTCGGGTCACTCCGAGCGTGCCAAGTCGAGGATGGCGCGTTCTTGGGCCGGACAGCGGTGCGTCGCAGGGCTTCCCCGGGTGCATTCCAAGCGTGCTCGCGCCCAAGAACCATCCCAAGCGCATTCGGAGCGTGCCTGCTCGGGAATTGCGCGCGCGGGGCCAAACAGGGGTGCGTGTATCGTCGCTGTCGCCCTTCATCTCCGAGCCGCTCCCCTGGTCTCTTCATCCCTCTCGCCATCTTGAGCGATGCCTTGGTGCTTGAGAAGGGCTTGAAAGTGCAACTGAACGGATTCCGATCCCCGTGAGTAGTCATAGATAGTCGAATGTGGATCTTCAGGGAGGAGGAGGAGGAGGAGGAGGAGGAGGAGGAAAAGAGAGCCTTTTCTTTGTTCCTCCCGCTTCTCACTGCTCCTCTTGCTCCTCTTCTGTCGCGTCGCCGCCTCCCTCTTCCCATCGTCCCCAGACATCCGATGTCTTGATGCTGTCAATACACGGCCCCCAGAAGTCCACATCCCTTCTCAGGGATTGTTCTTTAGTAAGGAGTCGTTGTTTGACGGCCCCAGGGACCTGCGATGGCCCCCAGAAGAGTTAGAGCAGGTCTGCCTTGTTCTTTTTCGACACGCTGGAGGTTTGCGCCCCCCCTCCTCGCCATCTTCCCCTTCTCGCCATCTCCCTCCCCACCCGCCCGCACCCGCGCAGGCTCGCCCGCGGATAAGCCGCAGGAGTGGAGCTGGGACCGGGACTGGAACTGGGACCGTGACCGGGAGTGGGACCAGAATTGGTCCTGGAGCAGCTGGCGCGAGGCCGACGGAGGAGCGCCCCGCCGCCGGGGACCTGTCAGCGGAGGAGGAGGAGGAGGAGGAGGAGGCGGAGGAGGAGGAGGAGGAGGAGGAGGGAGGAGGGAGGAGGGAGGAGGGAGGAGGGAGGAGGGAGGAGGGAGGAGGAGGAGGAGGAGGAGGAGGAGGAGGAGGATTCACCGTCGCCTCATTCTCGCCTTTGGGGGCCTCCGGGAAGGCCGCCGTCGGCACCGCTGGTCTCGCCCCGATCGTCTGGGCACAGCGCACCTCAGGGAGAGGTCCCGTGGAGAGCACTCCGTGCGGCAGGTCGATGGCGGCGACGGCGCGCTGGCGACGCCGGCGAAGGCGTCCAAGGCTGAGTTCTGCGACGCTGGACTCGCCCCGATCGTCCGGGCACAGCGCACCTCAGGGAGAGGTCCTGTAGAGAGCACTCCGTGCGGCAGGTCGATGGCGCGATGGCGCGCTGGCGACGCCGGCGAAGGCGCACCCAGGGACGCGGCAGCGACACTGGACCCGGCTGAGTTCGACCTGGAACGATCGGGGCCGCTCTCGATGCAAGGCTGAACCATCGGCGCGGCGTCAGAAACCGTTGCGCGCGCAGACGCATCACGAACCTACCGTGTGCCCTTCCCCTCCTCCGAGGAAGTTGCAAGGATTCCGGGGCACCGGGGGCCGACGCGGAAACGACATCCCCCGCGGAGGCCCCCCGTTGAGGCTCTTTTTGAGACTGCTCGAGGCGAGGCGAGGCGGATTGTTGAGTTCACCTGTTACGGCCGGACCGAGGTACACGATCGAGGTCGGATAAGGAGGGTACCCTACTGTTTTTCGTGTTTGTGGGATGTTTTTTTGTGTATCCTGGGGGAGGGCACCCTCGAGTAATCTTGTGGTTTGGGGTGTCTTGGCCAGCGGAGGGTATCGTGTTCTCGAAGGATGTTATTATCCTTGGTCCGACCGTATTCGGTTCACCTGTTATTTAATTCTGAGCCTCCCAGATGGGGTCGGAGCAAATGGGGTCGGAGGATCACGCCGCATCGTCGATGTACCGGCGATGCGGCTCGATGTGGAAACCGATTTTCTGCACGCCGACGCAGCCGATGCATCGCCGACGCCGCTGATGCATCGCCTACAGTCGGACCGAACTATGTGATCGGGGTCGGTTCGGGGAGGGTATCCTCGTGTTTTTCGTGTTTGTTGGATGTTATTGTGCATCCTGGGGGAGGGTACCCTCAAATGTTCTTCAGTTTGGGCCGGCAGAGGGTCTCATGTTCTTAAAGGATGCTCATCTGTCCTAGGTTCGACTGCATGCATCGCCGATGCATCGGCGCGATCCCCGGACCCCATCTAGGAGGCCTCCTGGCGATACCGGCGGGAGGGCGCCGCCGAAAGCGATGATGTATTTTATGTGGTGGCCTTGGGCCCATCTCGTGTGTAGCCTGGCAACGGAAAGTTGTTGCTGTTCTTCGGCGGCGAGCGAGGGGGAGAAGTGAGAAGGAGACGGCCTTCTCAGAAGGCGGCGGGACTTCTCAGAAGCGCTCGCGCCTTCTGAGAAATTGTCTGCGTCTTCGGGTCAGGCTTAGAAAATGTCTCGGAAGGCCCGGGACGTCCGAGCCTTCTGAGAAGGCCTCATCCTTGTCATTTCCCCCCCGGGCTCGCCGCCGAGTTCTGGCTCCTCGTGGTTCGGGTCAGGTGCAGTCACTCGCAAAAGCCCGCGGAGTTTCAATTTGTGGTGGGTGCAATCAACGAGGCCCTTCAAAGGGGCTCCCGGAGGCAGTTTTGAAGCCTCTGGGGAAGGGGGGGGTGGACGAAATCAATGAGGTCCCTCAAAGGGCCTCCTGGAGGCAGTTTTGAAACCTCGGGGGGGGGGGCGGGGGCTGCTTTGGGGCCTCTTGGGCCCCGCCTTTTTCTCTTGGGGGGTGCCTCGTAGGAGCCTCTTGGGGGCCTCTTGAGGCTCTTGGGGGCCTCTTGAGGCATCCTGGGCGCCTTGTGGGGCTGAAGGCTCGGATTTCCGGTTCGTGTTCGCCCTCTTGGGCCCCTCTTGGGGCCATCTTGGGGCCCTCTGGGGCCGTCTTGGGCGCCTCTTGGGCCGTCTTGGGGCCTTCTTGGACCGTCTTGGGGCTCCCTTGGAGGTCTCTTGGGGCCGTCTTGGGGCGGTCGTGGGGGTCTCTTGGGACGTATTGGAGCGTCGGAAGCTCGAAACGTGAAGAGCCCAAGAAACAATGAGAAGCCTTATGACAATGAATGATGTTGTCCTCTCGGGGCCCTCGTGAGACGGCTCCTGGAGGCCTCTTAGCACGTCTTGGACGCTCTTTCGGCCTGGACAATGGTGAGGCCATCTTGAGGCCTCTTGGGGTCGTCGTTGGGCAAGAAGCCTGCCACCTATGGATCCCGACTTTTGGGCTCTCTTGGAGTTCCCTTGAGGTCCCTCGGGGCGCTGCTGGGGCGCTCTGGGAGCACTGAGGGCCGCGCCCAGGAGTTCCGACAGCGGTGGCCCAGACCCGGCCGGGATTTTGCCAGCATGTTTCTCGTCCAGGGACACCTATAGAGGCTGCCCCGCGCGCGCACGGGTTTGGCCCGCTGGGCCGGCGAATTTTGCCGCCGAGACGATCGCCTTAGACAGTACGGGCTCATTCGCTCCGCGGATCGCCAGTCGAATGATCCAAGCAGAGCGGACGCGAGTACAGCCAAAGCCGTCCATCTCCGTTGCCTCAATTTGCAGGCTTGTCATCGTGGCGACCCAGGGCGCCCGGGAGAAAGAAGACGAGAGAATGAACGGGGGGACGGATCGGGCATGGGGGATCGGAAGGGGCCAGGACGAGGATGAATCCGCCTCATAGCGTTCTGGAACGCTCTCAGAGCGTTCCGGAACGCTCTGAAAAGGCCGCGGCGCTCGAGACCTTCCAGAGCTGCCAGATATCAGAGAATGGATTTATCCTCACCCGAATCTGCCAGAACCCCCCTTTGCCTCGTGAAGAAGGCACGACGGAAGGTCCCTGACAGATCTTGCCGGTGTTGGGCCTCCAGGGGCCCGTGGAGGGCGCCCCCCAGGGCCGTCAAGGAATGGCCCGGGATGCAACGCCAGTCCGAGCGAAGGGATCCACACCTCCGGGGCTCCACTCCGTGACAGAAAGCACGGCGTTGGGGATTTGGAGAGGAGGGGGCAGGACGGCAGAGGAGGGACCGGTCGGCAGAGGGGAGGAGTAAAGAGGGATGTGGAGTGGATGGTGGCAGTGGTCAAGGGTCAAGTGGGCAGGGAGGGGATGGTCCGGGATGGGGGTGGGGATGACAGAACGGGGTGGACGGAGGAGAGCGAGGAAGGGAAAGGAAGTAGAGGGACTGGGGGAGGGAGGCGAGGCCAGGAGAGGGAGAGAGGACGGTGAAGAGGGTGAAGAGGTGCAGGTGGGTGCGTCGGTCGGGGCGCACCCCCGTGCTTCCACCCGGGGTGTGGCAGGTTTGCCGGGGGGGGGGCTCCCGGGCGCGTGGCGGCCAGTCCCCGCCGGCCGCGCGCGGGTTTTCGGGCAGACGAGGGCGAGTGCGCATGGCCCGAGGCGCGTGCGTCGCCTTGTGGTCGTGTTCTTATTCATTGTTTTGCCGATCGGCGCGGGCCCTCGCACCCCCCCCTTCTGCCCCCCATGGAGTAGATGTTGGTTGTTTTTGGCGACTGTTTCGAGCAGGTGTAGTCTCCTCCATAGTACGCACTGTTGCAAATAGTCGCATGAGGCATAGGTCCGGAGCCAGCCATCCCCCCTCCCCTCCCGCTTCTGCCCAATGTCGAAACGCCGAATAAGAAAACGCTCACCTTGAGCTCGGAGTGAGGCGTCCGATCGGTGATGGGTGGCTTTCGATAGCAAATCCTGGTAGCCTCGTGTGTCCTCGCATTCCGTCTTCAGAGTGCCTTTAGGATATGCTAACGCGCTAGCGTTAGGTAATCGATGAGAAGGCGCCGATGTCGCGTCGACTCGCGTCGATTAGCGTCGATTTAGCGTGGATCAGCGTCGATTGGCGGCCTCGATTCGCAGGAGCCAGCAAGATGTGCTCCCATGAGTTGCCACCCAGCGGGACGAGAAACCATTGGTCAGAGGAAGGCCAGTTGAGACAACGGTGGTTGGCCTTCGGGACAGGAGGCACTCGTCACCACGGCTGGACGCAGCTCGGAAAATTGGTGCGCTTGGACCTTGGGAGGGGTCTGGGGGTCGATGTTGAGTTGCCGTTGTCTCAACGCGCCCTGGTCCGAAGTAGGTCGGACCACCGACGGGAGACGGAGGCTTCTGCTCCCCGCAGAGAGTGCCAGGATCAGTGCTTGCCCCCGTGCCTCAGGAGGCGGCTGGGACAAGGAGAAGAGCCACTGCGCCGGCTGGGACAAGGAGAAGGAGGGCGGCGACTGGGACAAGGAGATCAGAAGAGGGAAAGGTACCGATGCTGCTACCCTGGCCTCGTTTTGACCTCTGTGGACCTTCTGGGAGGCCCTCGTCGCCACGCCTGGATCCGCCTCGACACTCTGGTCAGAACGCCCCCCCCCCCCCCCGGGAGAGGTCCGGGGAGTGGCGGTGTCGGCACCTGGGTTCCCCAAGGAGAAGAGCCACGGCGCCGGCTGGGAGAAGGCGAACGAGGGAGGTGGCCGGGAGCAGGCTCGGGGGCAACGACGGGGTGGCGCTGGCCCAGGGGGGAGTCGGGCCGGACGAAAGGGGGGGATGGGGAAAGGGGGGGTTGCGAAGTTTGCTGCATGCAGCTGGTTTCGGCCCCACCGAGGGCCCCATGCCTCGATACACGGCCGCCTCCTGGCGCCGGGAGGCGCTGGGAAAGTTAGCTACGTGAGCTGATGCTCACCCCCCCCCTTTGCTATCCCCCCCTGTCGCCCGGCCCGAGGGAGGCATCTAACCCCAACCGTCCATTCATCGCCAATCGGGATTGGGATGCCCCAGTCTGTCCAAGAACGCGGGGTCTCCTTGTTCGAGTAGGGGATCGACTACAGAACTCATTTACCCCAAAATTGATTTCCTCGCCGAATCCACAAAAATATACGTAGCAGATTTCGTGGATTCGACGAACAAATTATGGGGTAACACAGTTTAGTAGTCGATCCCTTCCTCGACTTGTCGGGGCCCAATCTCCGACCTGTCGGCGACGTGTCGCCGATTCCAGGTCAACGATTCTCACAAGAGGAAGTTCCCCCCTAGCGTTCCCCCTCACAGGAAAGAAGCCGCGGCACGGGCTGGGACAAGGATCGGGAGGGAGAAAGAGTATCGATTGTACGCTACCGCTGGAACCCGTCAGCATGTTACTCCTTCGTTTTTGACCGAAGGCCTGGTTTACATCTTCAACCAACATTCGGCGGCGAGCGAGGGGGGAAAGCGAGAAGGAGAAGGCCTTGTTGAGGAGGCGGCGGGACTTCTCAGCTCAGAAGCCCTCGCGCCTTCTGAGAGGTTTTCTGTGTCTTCGGGGAAGGCTTATGCAGCCCCTCAGAAGGCTGGGGGACTTCCCAGCCCTCTCAGAAGGCCCGCCCCTTCGCACTTCCCCCCTCGCTCGCCGCCGAAGCATGCTGATGGAGTCCCCACGGCGCGGCGTGCCACCGATCCTGCTTTTGATCCCCGAGGAGAAGGGGGACGGTGGCTGGCACGGCGCCGGCTGGGACCAGGAGTCGGGGGCAGCTGGGATCGGCGCCGCGGTGACGAAGGTGCCGCCACCACCGCCAGGCCTGGGCGCCGTCTGGGACACGTCATCTCAGCTCTGAGATGCAGCGCCCCTCTGCTTGCCCGGGCCAGGGTCAGCGACCCATGACTCCCCAGCTCTCGTCGGCCCATCCCGCCACCGTGCCTGGGTGGTGAGTTGGAGGCCCCTTGGATGTTCGTTTGGATATCGTGGGAGGCCTCTCAGGGGTCTCTTGGAGGCAGTTTTGATACCTCTTGGCGGCCTCGTGGGGCCTATAGGGCGCCTCTTGGGCTCTCTTGGGGGCCTCTTGGGGCCTCCTGGGGACCTCTTGGGGCGGAAAGCTCGAGTTGTCGATTCGCTTTCCCCTCGGGGGCCGTCTTGGTGCCCGCAATCTCTTGCGCCTCTTGGGCCGTCTTGGGCCCATCGTGGGGGCATCTTGGGCCGTCTTGGGGCGGTCTTTGGGGCCTCTGGGGCCATCTTTGAGCGTCGGAAGCCCGAACACGCGAGAACACGAAAAACATCGAAGCACACAAGGACAATCAAGGATGTTTGCCTCTTTGGCCTTCTTGGGGGTCCTCTCGGAGCGCTCTTGGGGCTTCTTTGGAGCCTTTTGGCCTGTCTTGGGGCCATCGTGGGCGTCTTGGAGCGCTCTTGGGCTGTCTTGGAGGCCTCTTAGACCGTCTTGGGCGCTTTCTGGGACACCCTTGGTCTATCTTGGGGCCCTCTGGCCTCTGGAAATGTCATGCGAGGCAACCCAAGAACGCGCGGGAACGCCCAGGAAATTTAAGTACGTGGGGTCCCAACCCTTGAAATAATATAATCCCAGCGTCCTGATACAGAGCACGATGGCGGCTTTCAACAAACAAATAAACTGAATGAACATGCACTTTCGGAGGTCCGCGCGGATATCTTGGATCGGCGATCCCCCCCCTGGCTTGCTTTGCGCGCTATCAAGGCGGGGTCCAGCACTTGCTGACCCACGAAATCGACGCGAACCTCTACAAGTTGATGTCTGAGTTTCTGTAGCTCTCGGTCCCTACTTGTGTTGGGACCACACGAATCAACGGGGCAACGGTTGAGTTGCTCTGATGCTTGTGAGTGCCCAGTGCCCCCTCGTCCTTATTATCCTTATCTATCCTGGTCCCTCGGCCTTCTCCCCCCTCTCCTGCCTCGTGGACGGGGTGCATTCCTTAAGTAGGCCACGGGTCACCACACCCACCCCTGACTGCTACCATGCGGATAGCGATTCACCTGTTGACTATGTCAGCTCTCGTTTTGTCCGTCTTCCGTTCAGAACAATGGCACCAGCTGAACCAACGCGCACACACAAGCACGCACACATGGCTTATTCTTGCAAGATGTGTGACGTTGACGTTTCATGTGTGTGTGTGTGGAGCCCCATGTGTGTGGAACCCCGTGCGCGTGGAACCGGATGCGTATGGAAGCCCTTCTTTTGTGGATCCCAATTTGCGTGGAGCCCCATGTGTGTGGAAGCCCATTGGTGCGGAACGCCACGGAGGTGAGAGAAATTAGCCTGGTGAGGGACCCAACCATACGCAATTGTGGATACAGCAATTGTGAATACTATCTTCGCCCGCGCTCCCTATGTGGCCACGGCTTCCCGCCGGAGCCCGACATGCTCAGGGACACGTTTGTGGCCGTCTTCGCGGGCGCCGACGACCACGAGGACGGCGCCCCCCTCACCGAAGAGCAAAAGCAGGAAACGGTTCTGAGAGCCATGAGGGAGACTGCCATTGGCGCATTCGGTGGAGCTCCTATGGGGCCACGATCCTCATGAGGGGTGTGCCGACATGGCCCGAGGCCGCCATGCGAACCCTGCCACTGGGGGCCGTCGGTGGAGCTCCCCATGGGGCCACGATCCTCGTGAGAGGTGTGCCGAAATGGCCCGAGGCCGCCATGCGAACGCTGCCACTGGGGCCTTCGATGGAGCTCCCTGGGCCACGATCCTCGTGAGGGGTGTGCCGAAATGGCCCGGGGCCGCCATGCGAACGTTGCCACCGGGGCCTTCGGTGGAGCTCCCTTATGGGGCCACGATCCTCGTGAGGGGTGTGCCAAAATGGGGCGGGGCCGCCATGCGAACGCTGCCACTGGGGCCTTCGGTGGAGCTCCCTATGGGGCCACGATCCTCGTGACGGGTGCGCCGAAATGGGGCGGGGCCACCATGCGAACGCAGCCACTGGGGCCTTCGGTGGAGCTCCCTATGGGGCCACGATCCTCGTGAGGGGTGTGCCGAAATGGCCCGGGGCCGCCATGCGAACGCTGCCACTGGCGCCTTCGGTGGAGCTCCCTATGGGGCCACGATCCTCGTGAGGGGTGTGCCGAAATGGGGCGGGGCCGCCATGCGAACGCTGCCACTGGGGCCTTCGGTGGAGCTCCCTATGGGGCCGCGATCCTCGTGAGGGGTGCGCCGAAATGGGGCGGGGCCGCCATGCGAACGCTGCCACTGGGGCCTTCGGTGGAGCTCCCTATGGGGCCACGATCCTCGTGAGGGGCGCGCAAAAATGGGGCGGGGCCGCCATGCGAACGCTGCCACTGGGGCCTTCAGTGGAGCTCCCTATGGGGCCACGATCCTCGTGAGGGGTGTGCCGAAATGGGGCGAGGCCGCCATGCGAACGCGGCCACTGGGGCCTTCGGTGGAGCTCCCTATGGGGCCACGATCCTCGTGAGGGGTGCGCCAAAATGGGGCGGGGCCGCCATGCGAACGCAGCCACTGGGGCCTTCGGTGGAGCTCCCTATGGGGCCACGATCTTCGTGAGGGGTGCGCCGAAATGGGGCGGGGCCGCCATGCGAACGCGGCCACTGGGGCCTTCGGTGGAGCTCCCTATGGGGCCGCGATCCTCGTGAAGGGTGTGCCGAAATGGGGCGGGGCCGCCATGCGAACGCGGCCACTGAGGCCTTCGGTGGAGCTCCCTATGGGGCCACGATCCTCGTGAGGGGTGTGCCAAAATGGGGCGGGGCCGCCATGCGAACGCGGCCACTGGGGCCTTCGGTGGAGCTCCCTATGGGGCCACGATCTTCGTGAGGGGTGTGCCGAAATGGGGCGGGGCCGCCATGCGAACGCGGCCACTGGGGCCTTCGGTGGAGCTCCCTATGGGGCCACGATCCTCGTGAGGGGTGTGCCGAAATGGGGCGGGGCCGCCGTGCGAACGCAGCCACTGGAGCCTTCAGTGGAGCTCCCTATGGGGCCACGATACGTTGTGCTGGGTGGGTGAAGCGCAGGGAGGAGAGGGGAGGAGGAGAGGAGGAGGAGGAGGAGAGGAGAGGAGAGGAGAGGAGAGGAGAGGAGACGCGGGCCACCGTCCATTCAAAACGAGGACCCAACACCACAGGATGGTTGGGAAAAAGAGGGAGAGAGATAGAGTGAAAACGAAGGGGAGATTCACGTGCCTGTTGTGTGTTGTGTTAGCGTATGTGTGTATGTGCGGAATTGCTTGTGGAATTCAATTCGGTGCACTTTGCGCGGTGCAATGTGTGGAGAATTTTCTGCGCCGTGCTGCGTATGCCTTGTAACCTGACGTGGTGCAATATTCATGCGACGGGGTCGACACCCGCGTCCGCACGCACGTCTGCAGCCACGTCCACACCCATGTCGACACCCGCACACCCGCGTCCAAACCAACGGCGAAACCCACGTCGAGACCCTCGTCGGCACCCACGCCCACCGACGTTCGCACCCATGTCCCCGCCGACTTTCGGACACGCGCAAAAGGGGGTGTGGGGGTGGAAGGCTTCTGACAAGCACCTCTGCTTCTTAGAAGGCGCGGGCCTCATCTGTAGATGGAGGGCCCGCGTCTTCTAAGAAGCAGTAAGATGCATTTCCCCCTCCCCCTACCCCTTTGTGCGCGCCGCCAAACACCCGCGTCCACACGATCAAACCGACGTCCAATCCCACGTCAAGGCCAACAGTCCACCTCCAAAGACCGATGTCCGCACCCACGCCGAGAATTTCCATGCGGCGACCAGAGCCCGACCCAGGCGAAGAGGACACGTCTCCTGGAACGCAGACTAGAACCATTATTGCACGCGGGCAGCGATTCTTTGGTTTTTGTACAGGGGTTGTTTCGGTCTCCGGCCAGGCGGCGCCACGCGATACATTCGCACAAGACAATAGTGTTGATCAGATTTCCGGCAATGATGCGGAAGTCCGGCCGGAATACGTCGTAAGTGCAAGCACTGTTGTGTGAATCAGCCAAGCCCTCAAATTGGAGATGTCCCTCGTGCTTCTCAGCTTTCAAATCGAGATGTGGGGGAATGAGCGCTGTCTGCCGCTGTTGGCACGGGGGAGTTTCAAACCCTTTCCCCCAAAAAACCAGGGAGGGGGGTGGGTGTCCTGAACGCCCCACCCGGGGAAAATTGTTCGGAAGGGTCCAGAACTCCCATCCGCTTCCCCCGCCCCCAGGGAATTATTCGGGTGGTCTAGAACCCCTCCCCCTTTCCCCCCGACAACGACGACGACGTCGCCGCCGTCAGCATACAACGCGGACGACAACGAATACGACGAAAACGACGACGATGGACGACGCACGACGACGACGACGACGAAGACGACGTTGATGCCGACGACGCCGACGACGACGCCCACGACGCCGACGACGACGACGACAGCGACGACGACGACGACGACGACGAAGGCGACGAAGACGACGACGGCGACGACGAGCAGAGTAGGCGTAGCGTAGATTATCATAGGAGTAGAGTAGAGTAGAGTAGGTAGGGTAGAGTCGAGAAGAGCAGGGCGGGATTAGGAATAATTGATTATGTTAGGGTAGAGTAGAGAAGAGCAGTGATACGAATATCATATTATATTATTGCAGAGTAGAGTCGAACAGAGAAGAGTGTATGAGTAAACTCGAGCAGACATGTTGTAGAATAGAGCAGGGCTGAGTAGAAAGAGTAGGGTAGGACAGAGTAGAAGAGGAGCAGAGTAGAGCATGGTGGGGTACGGTAGGGCCGAGAAGAGTATGGCAGAGTAGGGTAGAGAGTAGACTAGAGTAGAGCAGGGTAGAGTAGGGTAGTGTCGAGCACAGGGGGCCCTAGTAGGATATTGAGAAAGCTGGATCGAGCTCCGGTAGTGTCAGAGCCGGCGCCTGGCGCGGGCGCCGGCGACAGGTGCGCCGCCGCTGACCTTGTCGCCATCGTCGGCGTCGTCGTAGGCGGCGTCGTCGTCGTCCTCGTTGCCAGCGGGGGGTTGTGGACCCTCTGAATCATTTTCCGGGGGAAGGGTCTCTGGACCCTCCCTGAATAATTTTCCCGCGGGGTGGGTGAGGGATCCCGACCCTCCTGGTTCGTTGGTTCTTTGCTGGGGGCGGGGGCCTGGGGGGAGGTTGCGGGGAGGGGGGTCCCCGACCCCTCCCTTTGGTGTTTCTTGTAGGGTTTTCTAGGGGGGAACCCTTCTGATCGAATAGTTTCACGCCGGCGACGGTGGATCGCGTTCTCTCAGGTGTGCACGTCCACGGCAAGGATTGTTCAGGGAGCGGGCGAGACCCCAACCGCCTGTTCGCGCGAGGGGTCCACAGCCTCCGCACGTGAGGAGCTCAAAGGTAGGCATGCAGCCTGAGTGCACCGCGCTGTCTTTAGGTGCCCCCCCCACCCTGTGCCTGCGCCCAGGCCCTCCGCCAGACGACGCCACGCCCACCAGGGGCAAAGATAAGAGCAGCAAGGGCGCCTCGAAGGACAAGGGCAAGGGCGGCAAGGGCTCTTCAAGGCAACGCTAGGGCGCCCCGACCAGGGCCGCAGCGGGACCGCTGCGCCGTAGGGTCAGGCGCCAGCCGCGCCAGCCTCGCGGCCGCTCTGGTGCACGCGGGCTTCGCGGAGCCTGCTGCGGGCCGAGGATCGCCCAGCCCGCCTTCGGGTGGGGAGGTTCCAGTCGGCGGCGCGCCCATGGGGGGAGGCAAGGGGGGGGGGGGGGGGCGGGCCACCTAAGAAGGCCGAGGCAGCCTTTTTGTAGGCCTCGCGAGGAGCTCAGACATGCTCGCCTCTCGAAGAAGTCGGGACGCGAGGTTTGTCTCAGTTTTGGGCCGTTGGGGGGCCCTCACCGAGCCCCGGGACCGTCAAGAAATCACTCAGGACGGAAGTCCGGTCCCGTGGAAATTGTCGGGGTTTCTGGGGGGCCCCTGCTGGGAAAAAACAGGACGTCGCACGCCTAGGCTCCGAGCCGTTTCCGACGACACGCTGCGGCTTCTCGGAAGGCGCGCGGGGTTCTGCCGAGCCTCGCTGACACCTGAGATCCCACGGCGCGAAAAATTGAGGCACCGTGCAACAAAAACACGACCAGAGTCCTGGACCCAATCTTTCTGCGCCGTCTCCCGAGGCGGATCGATCTGTGAGGGCACCGGGACCCGAGGCCGAGCGAACAAGAGGGCCCGGCCCGAGCACATGGGGACGCCAGGGTCTCCCGGGGACGTGCCCCTCCTCACCGCCTCCCCTCGGCGCGCCGCCGGGCCTCGCCCCTCGCCCCGCCGCCGGCGCCCGCCCGCGCGCGCCCGCGCGCCGTCCGCTCCGCGTTTTTTCGGCCGGCCGCGGCCGCCACGGAGCCGCCGCGGAGTCGGCGGCCCGGCCCGCGAGTCGCTCGAGGGGCGCGGTGTGCCCCTCCCGCGAGGGTCGCGGAGGGGCGTCGGCCGTCCCCTTGGCGAGCGTCGCGGGCAGGGCCGGCCCAAGGACGGGGGTTGCTAGACGGGCCCCTGGCCCAAGGTGCCCCCGAAGGGTTCTCGGGGCGGCCCGGACTCGGGAATCGAAACCTATACATGAACAGTCGCGGGTTGTTTTTCAATCCCCGATTTTTTGACGGGCGGGGACGACGTCGGGGCAGTGTGGTGTGTGCTTTGCCCCGTGTTTTCCCGGGAATCGACGAAAAATGTATACACCAATTTTCCGATTCAAATTTCAGTGCAGGGCCAGAAAAAGCGCCGGTGTGTGTATATATATATAGAGAGAGAGAGAGAGGTTCCCTACGGCCTCCAGAGCACCCCTCACGAGGCCCAGAGGGCCCCAGGGGCTCAAAGATGGAGCGAAAAGCTGGGGGCACCTTGGACCAGGAGCTCTCCTAGCAGCACCCGACGCGGGAGCTGGCCGGGAGCCGTGGCGTTGCCCTCCCCGTCGCCGGCAGAGCTCGCATGGCTCCAGGTTTGCCATAGGGGCTTGGCGGTGGCGCGGCAGCGGGCGGCGCTCCTCAGATACGGCTCAGGGGAGGAGCAGGAGGAGGAGCAGGAGCAGGAGGAGTAGGAGGAGCAGGAGGAGGAGGAGGAACGGCAGAGAAGGGAGGAAGAACCGCATGCCCCAGATAATAGAGCATACCTCTCCCCCTTCCCGCGATCCGCTTTGTTTTCCCTGGCCAAGACAGTTTTGGTCAGCGGTGGGGAGCGGCAGGACCCAATTTCATTATCGCCTAGGGGAGTACGCATCGTAGATCGACTCTTCTTATCATGGTTATAGCAATCATCATCAGCAGCATCATCACCCTCACCTTCATCTTCATCATTGTCATTGCCATTATTATCAGCAACATTATTATTATTATTATCATGTTCATATTCATTTTTATCTTCGTCTTCATATTCATCATTGTCATCGTCTTCGTCATCGTCATCGCTCTCGTTATCATCATCATCAACATCAGCATTAGTATCAGCGGAAGAAGACCGGTTCAACAGACGACCGGTTCAACAGGGACCGGTTCAACAGACGACCGATTCAACAGACACCGGTTCAACAGACGACCAGTTCAGCAAGGACCGGTTCAACAAAGACCGGTTCAACAGGACCGGTTCCGCAGAACCGGTTCCACGGAACCAGTTCCACAGGACCGGTTCCGCAGGACCGGTACCACAGAACCGGTTCCACAAGCCCGGTTCCACAGGACTGGTTCCACAGGACCGGTTCCACAGGACGGGTTCCACAGAGGCGATTCCCTCCTGCTACTCTCTCTCATTACACTGCTGCTGCTGCTGTTGCTGGTGCTGCTGCTCCTCCTCCTCCTCCTCCTCCTCCTCCTCCTCCTCCTCCTCCTCCTCCTCCTCATCCATCCCTCTCTGCTCTCCCGCCCTCCCCCATCTCTCGTTGCCGCTACGTCCCCCCGCCCCAAATCCCTCATCCCTCCCTACTTCCTCCTCCCCTCTCCTCCCTCATCCATCATCGAGGGCCACCGACCCGTCCTGCCCGACCCGACCCGACCCGTCCCGCCAATTAGGGTCCGCCCGCCCGACCCGTCCCGCCCGTCAGGGTACTCGCGTGCCAACTTCATGGCGCATCATACTTTAATGTCCTGCCCGCCCGACCCGACCCGTCCCGCCCGTGAGGGCCCGCCCGCCCGACCCGACCCGTCCCGCCCGTCAGGGTCCGCCCGCCCGCCGGACCCGTCCCGCCCGTTAGGGTACTCGCGTGCCAACTCGATGGCGCACCATACTTTAATGTCCGCCCGACCCGAACCGACCCGCCCGTTAGGGTCGGCCCGCCGGGCCCGTCCCGCCCATCAGGGTACTCGCGTGCCAACTCGGTGATGCACCATTATTATTTTATGTCCTGCCCGCTCGACCCGACCCGTCCCGCCCGTGAGGGTCCGCCCGCCCGACCCGTCCGCCCGCCCGCCGGACCCGTCCCGCCTGCTAGGGTATTGGCGTGCCAACCCGCCCGTCAGGGTCCGCCCGCCCGCCGGACCTGTCCCGCCCGTTAGGGTACTCGCGTGCCAACTTGATGGCGCACCATACTTTAATGTCCGCCCGACCCGACCCGACCCGCCGTTAGGGTCCGCCCGCCAGACCCGTCCCGCCCGTTAGGGTACTCGCGTGCCAACTCGATGATGCACCATTATTTTATGTCCCGCCCGCTCGACCCGACCCGTCCCGCCCGTGAGGGTCCGCCCGCCCGACCCGACCCGTCCCGCCCGCCCGCCGGACCCGTCCCGCCCGTTAGGGTACTCGCGTGCCAACTCGATGATGCACCATTATTTTATGTCCCGCCCGCTCGACCCGACCCGTCCCGTTAGGGTCCGCCCGCCCGACCCGACCCGTCCGCCCGCCCGCCGGACCCGTCCCGCCCGTTAGGGTACTCGCGTGCCAACTCGATGATGCATCATACTTTAATGTCCCGCCCGCCCGACCCGACCCGTCCCGCCCGTTAGGGTCCGCCCGCCCGACCCGTCCCGCCCGTTAGGGTACTCGCGTGCCAACTCGATGGTGCATCATTCTTTAATGTCCCGCACGCCCGACCCGACCCGTCCCGCCCGTTAGGGTCCGCCCGACCCGACCCGACCCGTCCCGCCCGTTAGGGTCCGCCCGCTCGCCGGACCCGTCCCGCCCGTTAGCGTATTCGCGTGCCATCTCGATGATGCATCATACTTTTATATCCCGCCCGCCCGACCCGACCCGTCCCGCCCGTTAGGGTCCGCCCGCCCGCCCACCCGTCCCGCCCGTTAGGGTCCGCCGGGCCGCCGGACCCGTCCCGCCCGTGAGGGTACTCGCGTGCCAACTCGATGGTGCATCATACTTTAATGTCCTGCCCGCCCGACCCGACCCGTCCCGCCCGTTAGGGTCCGCCCGCCCGACCCGACCCGTCCCGCCCGTTAGGGTCCCACGGCCCGCCGGACCCGTCCCGCCCGTTAGGGTACTCGCGTGCCAACTCGATGGCGCATCATACTTTAATGTCCCGCCCGCCCGACCCGACCCGACCCGCCCGTTAGGGTCCGCCCGCCCGACCCGACCCGTCCCGCCCGTTAGGGTCCGCCCGCCCGCCGGACCGTCTCGCCCGTTAAGGTATTCGCGTGCCAACTCGATGGTGCATCATTCTTTAATGTCCCGCCCGACCCGACCCGTCCCGCCCGTTAGGGTCCGCCCGACCCGACCCGACCCGTCCCGCCCGTTAGGGTCCGCCCGCCCGCCGGACCCGTCCCGCCCGTTAGGGTCCGCCGGGCCGCCGGACCCGTCCCGCCCGTCAGGGTACTCGCGTGCCAACTCGATGGTGCATCATACTTTAATGTCCTGCCCGCCCGACCCGACCCGACCCGCCCGTTAGGGTCCGCCCGCCCGACCCGACCCGTCCCGCCCGTTAGGGTCCGACGGCCCGCCGGACCCGTCCCGCCCGTTAGGGTACTCGCGTGCCAACTCGATGGTACATCATACTTGAATGTCCCGCCCGCCCGACCCGACCCGACCTTTCCCGTTAAGGTCCGCCCGCCCGACCCGACCCGTCCCGCCCGTGAGGGTCCGCCCGCCCGCTGGGACCGTCTCGCCCGTTAAGGTATTCGCGTGCCAACTCGATGGTGCATCATTCTTTAATGTCCCGCCCGACCCGACCCGTCCCGCCCGTTAGGGTCCGCCCGACCCGACCCGACCCGTCCCGCCCGTTAGGGCCCGCCCGCCCGCCGACCCGCCCCGCCCGTTAGGGTCCGCCGGCCCGCCGGACCCGTCCCCCGTCAGTATCGCGTGCCAACTCGATGGCTCCTGCCCGCCCGACCCGACCCGCCCGCCCGTTAGGGTCCGCCCGCCCGACCCGACCCGTCCCGCCCGTTAGGGTACTCGCGTGCCAACTCGATGGTGCATCATACTTTAATGTCCCGCCCGCCCGACCCGACCCGACCTTTCCCGTTAGGGTCCGCCCGCCCGACCCGACCCGTCCCGCCCGTGAGGGTCCGCCCGCCCGCTGGGACCGTCTCGCCCGTTAAGGTATTCGCGTGCCAACTCGATGGTGCATCATTCTTTAATGTCCCGCCCGACCCGACCCGTCCCGCCCGTTAGGGTCCGCCCGACCCGACCCGACCCGTCCCGCCCGTTAGGGTCCGCCCGGGTCCGCCCGCCCGTCCCGCCCGTTAGGGTCCGCCGGGCCGCCGGACCCGTCCCGCCCGTCAGGGTACTCGCGTGCCAACTCGATGGTGCATCATACTTTAATGTCCTGCCCGCCCGACCCGACCCGACCCGCCCGTTAGGGTCCGCCCGCCCGACCCGACCCGTCCCGCCCGTTAGGGTCCGACGGCCCGCCGGACCCGTCCCGCCCGTTAGGGTACTCGCGTGCCAACTCGATGGTACATCATACTTGAATGTCCCGCCCGCCCGACCCGACCCGACCTTTCCCGTTAAGGTCCGCCCGCCCGACCCGACCCGTCCCGCCCGTGAGGGTCCGCCCGCCCGCTGGGACCGTCTCGCCCGTTAAGGTATTCGCGTGCCAACTCGATGGTGCATCATTCTTTAATGTCCCGCCCGACCCGACCCGTCCCGCCCGTTAGGGTCCGCCCGACCCGACCGACCCGTCCCGCCCGTTAGGGTCCGCCCGCCGCCGGACCCGTCCCGCCCGTTAGGGTCCGCCGGGCCGCCGGACCCGTCCCGCCCGTCAGGGTACTCGCGTGCCAACTCGATGATGCATCATACTTGAATGTCCCGCCCGCCCGACCCGACCCGACCCGCCCGTTAGGGGCCGCCCGTTAGGGTCCGTCGGCCCGCCGGACCCGTCCCGCCCGTTTGGGTACTCGCGTGCCAACTCGATGATGCATTCTGTTTGAATGTCCCGCCCGCCCGACCCGAGCCCGACCCGCTTCTGGGGAAGAGGTTCCGGGGAAACGGTGCACCGGGGAAACGGTATAGGGGAACCGCGGCTGCGGGGAAACGGTTCTGGGGAACCAGCTCCGGGGAAACGGATCGGGGGAAACGGTTCCGGGCAAGCGTTCCCGGGGAAACGGAACAGGGGAAACGGTCCCGTGGAATCGCTCTTCCGGGGAAGCGGTCCCCGGGGAAGAGGTCTCCGGGGAAACGGTCCTCCGGGGAAACGGTCCTGCAAGCGGTTCCGGGGAAACGGTTCCCGGGGAAACGGTTTCGTATCAGCATCATCAGCATCATCATCAGCAACATCATCATCATCCTCATCATCAGCAGCATCATCATTAGCAGCACATTCATCATCCTGGTCATCTGTATCATCGTCATTCGCCGAGTTCGTGAGATGAGTGCATCCGTACACTCCAAAAGATTCCGTTCGCTCCTCCCCCTGCTCCTTTTCTTTTCTGTTGCGACTTGCCGGGAAAAGTTGTCTTACCCCGCTGGAGCCCCGAACCTTGTTATCCCCGCCATGTGATGATCGGGGGCATAGGGTTAGGAAAAGGAGGAGGAACAGGATGGAACGCGGGGGGGAGGCATCAGTGGAGGGAGGAGCAATGGGAGGGGGAGGGAGAGGAGGAAGAACAGGAGAAGGAGGAAAAGGAGGAGCACTGCGAAAGAAGGAGGGAGGAGAGCAGGTGGAGGACAAGGAGAAATGCGAAGGAACAAGGGATGAGAGCAGCTCGAGGTTAATACTGGATTTTGTCGAGCTAGTGACGCCAGCGCTTGTAGCGTGCTGTCGGCATTTCGCCGTGTGGGGAGCAGGCAGTCAACATAGGACGGATCACTCTCACGACCACGCGATGGGACGATTTTCACGCCACCGTCTCGTTTACATGTTCTGCTTCGAACACGCGGGCTGGTACAGGGTCGCTTCGTATTTTGCTGTTCCATCAAGAGGCTTACGAGCATACGCCACCGCCTGTTCCCCAAGTTCGTACAAGCAAGCGTCAGCTTGCAAAACGCATGAACTGCAGCATTCATGACCATATGAAACTAACTATGCACGGGCTGGGACCATTGTCTTAATGAGGATGATGCAGAAGTGCGCGTGCGCAGAAATTCAGACAGGTCCTACAAGCTGAGCGAACAAACGTTTCTTGATTGAGCCGTATTCCTGAGTTATCGCTATCCTTGCATATGTCTATACATATATATACACACATATATACACCTATGAGTTCGCCCATCTGTATGCTGCATGCATGTGTCTGTATGCATGTGTGTATATATAATGTATACAGTTTCTTGTGGCAAGTCCGGCCGCCCGTGCTGGCCTAGCATTCTAGGTGGCGACTGTCCGATGGGGGCAGAGAAGGCCGCGATTTGCGACACCTCGTGTCACGAGGCTTGTTCGGGCGAGCCGTACTATGTGACACACTCTTCCGCGGTCTCGTCTCATCTTTGTCGTTGCGTTCCCTTTTCTCAAGTCCCTTCCGGGCCTCCTGTGAGGCAGTCTTGTAGATCCTTTGGGCAATTTGGCCGTTTTGATGCCACCTTGGGGTTGTCTTGCGCCGTTTTGGGGCACTCTTGGCCGTCTGGCTTGTCTGTCGCTGCCGTCGTGGGGCTGTCCTTGGACCAGTTGGGTCAGCGAGAGGCCCTCTAAGGCCGCTTTGGGTCCCTCCAAAAGCCCTTTTTGGCAAGTTTGGGATTTTCGGGGGGGCATCTTGGGCCTAGAGTTTAGAGGCCTTTTTCGGATTGTCTTAAGGCCGTTTTGGAAGATTCTTGGGACCACCGTGGGCCGTAGCGGGGCCCCATCGTGGAGGCCTCTAGGGCCGTCTGGAGTTGAAGGAATGTCGAAAAGGCGCAGCCGCACAAATTGTGAAACACCTTACATTGCAAACTATGTTGGATCCTCCAGGCCCGATTGGGGGTCCTCGAGTCGCCAGGTTCTGGGCGGTTTTTGGCCGTCTTGTGGTCATGTTGGGTCGTTTTGGGGGGCATCTTGGGCGACTTATGCGAGCATATTTTACCACATCTCGGGTTTTGCCAAACATGTTTTCGCACGCTACCCATCTGTGACCGACACACTGGCTCAAGTGCCAATATAAACATATGCGATGGCTGTTTCTGCTGCAGTTGGTAGCGGGACCGTGGCCAGGACGGGCAGCCATGGGCGGCGACGAGCAACCGTGACAGCTCAGCTCGGTCGCCGCCCGCGAGTCGGAGTCCTAGCCAGCGCACGGCTGGCACCTGGGAGTGGCACGCTCCACGGCAGATGCTGGCAGGAGAAGAGGGCAGAGACGATGCAGGATCCGAGGGCGCGGTCACCGGCGCGGTGTCGGCATCCGGCGTAGGAGAAGAGTCGCCAGCACCAGACTCATCTGCTCCCCCAGTGATTTCGGCCACGCCCAAGCAGCTGAAAGGTCTCGTGGCGGGTATAGTCAAGGAGACTACGCAGGCAACCCCAGGAGCTGCCGCCGCCAAGGTCGGCTCGGCCAACGCTGGCGACGACCAGGATCGGAAGACGACGGCGGACGACCCTTGGGAACCGGCGCGCGATCGAGGAGCAGCAGCAGCCCAGGAGATCGCGGCCACCAAGAGTCAAAGTCATGATCAAAGTAATGGATGGCGGACCGAATGGAACCAGTCCGCCGACGCCTGAAAGAACTATGACCACAGCTCGGAGTGGTCCTCGCGGCAGCGGCAGTCCTTGGCACCAGGGCTGGCGGGGCAACACCTGCCAGGGCGTCAAGGGCGACCGCTCGGACCGCCCGGCGCGGCAGGCGCGGGGCCACTGCGGACAGCGGCGGAAGGCGTTGCGGCGGTGGAGCAAGGACGCAGATGTCACGGCGCGGCGCCAGGGCGAGGAGTTTCTAAAGCTCTTCGATTGGAGCGCGCAAGTTTGGTAGGATGACATTTCCGGGGGCGCGTTGACCAGCGACGCCTGGCTCGACGCGCTGCTCTCGCGCATGGACCCCGCGATCGGGGAACGCGGGGGCGACGAACTGAGGCGCGCGGGGCGAAACAACCTGTTCGCGGCGGCGCGCGACCTTGAGAGCCTCGCCCAGTTCGTCGCGCGCAGGGGGTCTCAGCTCATAGAGGCCGAGGCCGGCGGCCTGCGGTTCTCCCCGACGGCGAAGAGACTTATGCTCGAGGGGGGCCCCCAGCTCTCGGCGCGGGAAACGCAGAACCTGATGGGCTCTGACGCACGGGCGCCTGGGCGCTGAGAACGCGGCGTGGGCGTCGCGCCAGATGGGCGCGACCAGGTCGGAGAAAACTTCTACCCGTCGCGGGGGCGCAGGCCCGGGGCTGGCAGACCCGGGAATTTGCTCCTGCGCGGCTCCCCGAACGGGGGGGACTTACCGCGGCATTTTTCTCGCGCGCTTCACCGAGCAAGCGCGCTTCTCGCAAGCGACGCGCAGCGCGACGCGCCGGGGCCGGGCGCGCCGCGCGGCCGCCGCGGGGCCGCTCCGACGCAGATTCGTCGGGTTGCACCAAAGGAGGGTCCAGCGACAAGGGGGTGGTGCAATAGATCTGGTGCGATAGATTTGCGGGGTTCCAATACATTTGGGGTTATGCCGCAGTGCATTTCGGGGCGCAAGTGCATTGTTGCATTTTCGCGTGCAACGCATCACTCGCAGTTCAATGCAATGCCATTCTCCGGCGCAAGACATATGCAATAGATTTGCCCAAATGTACTGCACCGCTCCCTTTCAGCTGCACCCCTCGCTGGGTGGCGCGAAATTTGCCAGCGTTGAAGAACGCGTCTGGCGCGTTGTAATTGTCTGTTTCCTGCGGCGCTGTTGCGCCGCATCTGATCATCTGCAATGCGCCGCGTTGTTTTCCGCGCTGCAGCTTTCGTTCTACGCGCGCGGGCCCGCCTAACCACGGGCCGCGCGGCGCGGGCGTCGCGTTGGAAATCTGAGCTGGGCGCGCGAAAGGGCACCTGGGCGCCGGGGCTTGCGCGTCGGGCGCAGCTGCAGCAAAAAAAGAGCCCCGGCCCCTGGTCTGCCGACCCCTGGCCAATTGGGCCCCGAACCCAGGAGGTCCACGGGCGCCGCGCTCGCCAGCGTAGACGCCGACGGCAAAGAGTGCTGCGAGGCCGCCCAGCCCCCCCGCTGGTCGGTCGGAGGTCGAGGGCCCAGGTGAGTTCTACGACGGCTATGACGAGGCGGCGTTGCTGGCAGAGTTGGAGGACCTGGACCTCGAGGAGGACCAAGTGGACGACGCCGCGGCGGGCATAGAGCCCCTCTCCAACCGGCGCTCGTGGATGGAAGACAAGGGCGCCCACCGCGCGGCCGATTTTGATCGCGAACACATCGGGGCCGCGCGCGGATCGGGCGGTCCAGGAGGTCGCCGCCCCCCGCGCGCTGCGAGCGGCGCGCGGGGCCAGGGCGCGGCGCGAGCCCGCGGCAAGGGTCGCGGTAGAGACGGCCGGCCGACGCTGACCATCGAGCAGCCGATGACGGCGACGAAGCGCGGCGCGGCGCGAGGTCGATGAGATGCCGGGCGAGGCCGACGCTCTCCCGGTGGAGCCCGACGAGCAAGGTTGACGCGTTCTTCGCGGATGGTGCTACCCAGGGCCTCGTTGACCCTGGCGCGGGCGGCGACCTTGCCGGGCTCGCGGCGCTCAACGGGGGGGCCCAGGCCTCGGCGGCGGCGGGGCTGAAGTCCGAGGCCGCCCTCGAGGGGCAGCAGGAAGCCCGGCGGCTCAAACCGCCGCCGGCCCCGAGAGGGCCATCGGGCCCACGCGGCCCCACCATGAGTCTCGGCGGCGCGCCTGGCGCGGTGGAGACCGCGGTCTTGGACGATGACATCCCGCGCGCAATCGGCATCGACCTATGCTCTGCGGAGGCGCATAGGCTTCCCACTTCTCATCCTTACCTTGGCGTTTGTCCGGCCTTGTCTACCGGGTACTTCTTGCCAGGATTATGACCTGGGGCGCCAGGAATGCGATCGGGAAGCCATGGCTTCGGCATCGGGCGGTTCTGGGAGCCTTTCGAGGAGGCCCCGATGGTCTTCAGAATCGCGCTTTTCGGGCCCCGAGCTCAGCTAGCGGCCTGCCACGGTTTGTCCTGGGCTCAGCTAGCGCCCCCGGAACGCGCCCGGCCTTCAGGGTCCAAAGGGAGAGCCGCGGCGATGGCGGGCCAGCTCGTCGGGGAGAGTTCGCCTAGACGACCCGCGGCAGTCCCAGGATGCGACCTCTTCGTAGCTACTGGTTCCAGCCCTCGGCGGGTTTCGCAGGCCGCGAGGCCCTCTTTCACGTGCCATTCACGCCGCGCCCCGCTCTGAGGGGGCGCCCCCGCCAGCCCGGCGAAGATGCCCCGGCTGCGAGTGGCCAAGAAAGACGCGCCCCCAGGGGCCAAGGGGGCCGCCGAGGCGCGCCTCGCGAGGGCCCGGGAGGCTCGTCGCATACTGGAGGAAGAGACCAGAGGGCGCGGATATCGACGCTCCAGGAGCCACCTCGAGCGGGGCCGCTGCCCCAGCCGTCGAGGCTGCAGCAAATCTTCTGGCGCGGGCATTTGAGAAGGCATGCTTCTTCTCACTTCCCCCCCTGGCGCGCCACCGACGCATGCGCGGCGAGTGTGCTGGCAGGGGCCCAACACTACCGCGTCATAACACAGCGAGTGCATTGAAGCGATCTGAAATCAAGGTGTTCGAAACGGATCTGATATATGCGAGAAAGCGCGTGGCCCGCGTGTGTATGGTACCATATGGTTCATTGAGTATGCATATGTGTGGCCGTGTTGAATGCTCCGTATCTTTGCATTGTAACATTGGTGATGTGATGAGGCAATGAAAATGGTTGATACGATGCAACTTGAGGCTTTGCTCTAATACCATGTCAAGTGAATATGGCAGGCCAATGTCGTAGAGAGCGCAAGTTCGGTTTCGGGCATGGGGTTGGTTTTTGATACGACGCTGAAGCTAGTATACACGCATGTACACATACATCCATACAATGTGTACAGCCAACGTCGTGCATGCGAAGCGTTCCCAGGCCATTTCGGACATATTTGGTATTGTCCACGTTGGATTATTTATGTCGTGCAACCCATGGTATGCAAGCGATATGGTGCCATCTATATCCAAAGGAAGAGAGCACACCGACCCCAAGAATTGGCGTTTAGTGAACGTTCCAGGCGTTTACTGAACAGCCCTCCCTTGTTCGATTCTTCCACTGGGTGCGTTTACCAGACGGCTTCGTTTGCCGGGGTGTTTATAGGGGTGGGTTTTCTGTTCTGCTCTGTCTATACGGCACAAGCTCGGTGGCGCAACCTGTGTGGCGCAGGCTCTGTGGCGCAGGCTGCGTGCAAGCACCAAGCAACAAACCCGCTGCGCCGCCACGAGGGGCCCACACGGACACCGGCCGGCCAAAAGCTCGAAGACGCGACCCACGCTGGGGGCGCCCAGCCAGACATGCCAGCCAATGGTTCGGTATAACAGAAGGTCGCCGTTTTTGTATACATTGTTTCGCCGATCGGCGCGGGCCCCCCATCCCCCATCCATAAACCAAATCGTGGTTGCTTTGGGCGGCCGCTGTCGGCGAATGGTCAGGACCCCTCCCCCCAGTCTGCTTGCGCGACTGGTAGAAGCAGGACGATTAAGCACAGGCCCAGACCCAGATCCCCCTCCCCTCCCACCATTCGGCCAAACGTCGAAACCCAGAATAAAAAACCCTACAAGGAAGCGCGAAAGAAAGAAAGAAAGAAGGAAAAGCTCGTACTGCAAGCACTGTTTTGGGAAAAACCGTAGGTGAGCGAGGGATTCCGCACGCTGGATGTCGCTCAGATGCGTCGGCCGATTTATGTCTTACGATTGCTCCTAAGTGGGCAGACGCGCCTCTTGCGGAGGAGAAGCGCAGCTTGATTCAGTAGATGGGATGCCCGCGAGACACATTGCAAGGTGATCCATCAGGCTGACGCCAGATCTGCCAACCACAGAGGAATGACCTGAATGGTCCAGGGTTGGGGGCGGGTCGCACTCCCTTCTTTCCCCTCAAGCGGATGTCTTGGGGACCCGTGCTGCTGGAATTCGCGAGAGAGGGGGACACATTCTCACACGCGTTGGCGATCCCTCCCCGGTCTGCGGAGTTGACGCACCTTGCTTTGGGAGGAGCATTCGGGTTTCTCTTCGCTGCACGCAAGCTCCGATAGTCTCCGTCGCCTTAAAATTGACGTTTGCCTTGGCAGTCCTACCAAAAGCTTGTGATCGCGCGATGGAATTGGACAGCCAGTGCCTTTTTCAGCATGTGGGTCGCGGTTGAGGCGCGCATCTCAGAAAAAAGGCAGCACCATAGCAGCGTTCTTTCTCTCTCTCTCTCTCTATCCCTCTCTCTGGAATTTCCTCGGCACAGCTAGTTTGGTTTCGGAACGCTTGCAGGAATCTACAGCCCACTGGCCCCCGCCGCCTTCCGAACGTGTGGGAAGTGCCCATCCATGCACAGGAAGAGAGCTGCTGTTTCTCTGCAGAGGAGGGCTGCATCATGGCATTCATCATCGTCAGAACACCCCTCCACTGGGATTAGGTTATTACAACCTCTAATGTGCCTTGATTCGCAGAAAGAAGTTCGAGCACCTAGAGAGCACTGAAACGGTAGGGTTTGCACGTGTCGTTCCCTGGGAGGCGATATTCGTTCGACATGGCGCTAGCGTGTCGGGCATTCATTGTTTTGATACTGCCCTGGGTGCTCGAGATTGGTTCTGGGATGTGGTCCGCAAGTATGACGGGAAGCACACAGTACTGGGACAGGGTAAGCTTGCTGTCCCAGCGTGCCCCCTTCGTTGGGGATCGGCGCCCGAGACCCGAAACGGAAACGGCACCCCCCCATCCCCGCCCGAGGGCCGGCAGGCGGGCCAGCTGGGCCAAGTTCTCCCAGGTTCGGTGGTTCAAGGATGGGGTCCTGAGGGATGGGGTCCCGAGGACGAGGTGCCTCAAACACGGGAAATCCACCCGTGAATCCCTTCCTATCCTCAGGTCCCATCCCTCAGGACTCCAGTTTTGAACCACCGACTGGTGGGGGTATCAGGCATCAGGTGCAACGGTAGGGTGGGGGATACAGTCAAGACATTGAAATACGGTAGGTTCATGCGGCGATGGCGCGCTGGTGACGCGTGTTCAAGGTTGGATTCGACGACGCGGACGGTCCGAGGGACACGGTGGTGCCCGTGGACACGACGGAATTCAACCTTGAGCGATCAGGGCCGCGATCGACTCAAGGCTGAATCATCGGCGCGGTCTCAAAAATCTCTGCGCGTGCCGACGCCCCGCGAGCCCACCGCAAGGACTACCTCAGATGTTCGGGCCGTTCCTTAGATTTACGAGTTGGAGCCTATACGTGGCCGATGCTCGCCGTGGCCAGAAAAGCCCCTTCGTTCCTCATTTGGCGTTCATTATGTGGCACGATGGCTGTATCGCCCAGTGATCGCCGGTAGGGGCCCGATAGACCACCTCGCTCAGGAACGTGCGGACTCGCTATCAGGGGCCTATCGCCGATCTGTCGGAGATGCATCGCCGGTTCCAGGTCGATGGTTACCCCCCCGAGCTGGTCCCCCCCTAACGTTGCCCCGTAGTTGGGTGCTCGATCACGGACCCCTTGTCGAACGTAACCATCCAGCTTTCGTGACGAAGACCGCCGAAGACCGTCAGAAGACCGTCAGAAGACCGCCAAAGATCGCTAAAGACGGCCCATGAGCGATGGGCAACAAGGGGTCTATGGCCGAGCACGTGACCTTAGGATGGGCCTTGTTGCCTCAAATTGCACATGTCCAGAGGCATGGCTGGCCCGGGCCAGCGTCGCATGCAGGTCCAGGGCGGTGCCGCCGGCGCCGCCAGGGGGGGGTCCAGCGCCGATCCGGGAGATCCGCGCGGGCCTCCGAAGGCGTTTGATCGTGCAGTGTGCTGCTCCTCCAGCGTCGCGCGTACAGTTTGGGCCCTGAAGAAGGAACCCTTTTCGTTGGGGAGGGGCTCCGCGTTCCTTAAGTGTTTTACAGCTTGCCTCAGGCTTTCCTTAGGTTTTCGACCGGAGATCGAAGGTTAACTTATGGAGAAAAGGGGCCTCGTTCCTTATTTAGGGTTCCTTAGGTGGACGCCCCGACTGTAGCGGTCTGAGCAGAGCGGCTGCCCTTCTCCTTTGGGGGGGGAAGGGCGCGAGGGCCATCGCGGGTTGCGCATGGCGTGGCGCGGTGCGCGAGGTTGGGGTGGCCTGGGTGTCGGGCCGCGCGTGGGGTGTTGCGTACTCCTGGGCGCGTCCCTCCCCCCTCCCCTTCCCTGGCATCGCTCGGACGTGCGCATTTTTCCGCGGCGAGGACTATCGAAGAGCATCTTGTGGATCATCTTGCGAAGAAATCAAGCGCACCGAGTCGAGACATAAGCACGGGAAATGGGCGTCCGAGCGATGGCGAGCGGCCCTGAAGATAGACGCGCGAAGCCGAAATATGCACGCGGAGTGGACGTCCGAGCGACGGCGAGCCCCTGCGCGGCCGCTGTCCTGCTCTTCTGAGGTCCCAGTCTGCGCAGGCGCACGACGACGAGCCGGTCGTGGAAAGCGGGTCGTTTGGGACTCCCAGAGCCCAAACTTTGGCATCGCTCGGACCTGTGCATGTTGTCGCGGCGAGAACCATCGAGGAGCATCTTGGATCATCCCGCGTAAAGTGCGCGCACGAAGCAGGAAAATGCACGGGGAATGGACGTCCGAGCGATGGCGAGAACCTACTCTGAGACGCTTTCCTACTTGAAGAGTCGAGCAGCTTTTGCTTCTTCGTTCCTCTTCAGGGAGCGGGCGGAAGCCAAATCTACTTTCAACGCATTCCCACTTCATGTTTCTACCACTTTTTTCTGGCCGGCGTGTATAATCGGAACCGATGGTAAGAATGGGTAGTTTTCCCAACGGTACCCTTGCATCCTTGCCTTTTTGGTCCATCATCAATTACTTTGGATGGCCAGCCCCGCTCGAATAGCATCGACATGGGCGTACAAGGGGCTTGCGTTCTCACCGCGCATCCTGACTATCAGTCATGGGTCGACCTAAACGGTGCTTTGGCGAGTTCGTGGGCCGTTTCCGTTTTCATGGCGTTTTGCAGCAAAGGCGTATTGAAGACAAAAGTAGGGAGAGCGACAACAAACCGAATACGAAAAACACTGTTTAGGGCGATCCTTGCTATCAGGTTTGACTGTACGGCTGGCGCTGCAAAGGTAGCGTGCGATGTGGCGCTGGCGACCCGCTCATGGCATGCGCCCACGAAACCTTGGTAGGGGACTGGCGTGCACAGAAGAAGGTCGGCGGCGCGCCCAGGGGGGAAGTGGGAGGGGGCGGGCCTTCTCAGAAGGCTCGGAAATTCCCCGGCCCTCTGAGAAATGTTGTAAGTTTTCCCCGAAGACGCGGAAAATACCTCAGAAGGTTG